GAAGCTTTAGTTAATAGTAAATCAAGTGATGTTGAAGCTCTAATGAATCCTTTTGAAGCCTTTACGAAACATATTTTGGTGGCAAACAAGTGACTTGTGTCATTTCTCTATTATTTTATTGCATTACTTTTAAAATTATAAAAATAGACAAAAGCTTTAAGCATGTTCCTTGCAACGACTCTTCATATTTGAAGTGTCAAGGCCACCAAAGCTTTAAACAAGGGCATGCACAAATTAAATAAACACCCAATATTGAACCAAAAAAAAGAGAGTCCCAATTTAACATTCAGAGGAATACTCAACATCGACCTCAACCTTGGCACCTGAAATTCACAAAAGGAACAAAGAAAAGGTGAATTAATTAAGAAAAAGAGGGGAAATGATATAAGAGGATAGGGTAAGGTAGGGTAGGGAGGAGGACCATGGAACTCATGAGGACGATGGTCCTCACCCCTTACCAATGCCGTGAGTGGACTCGAGGTACTGGTGGATGAGGTGGCGGTACTTCTGAAGGTGGTTGACGCCCTCGATGCGGTAGCACTAGTGGAGCTTTGCTCTGATGATCTTGGCCTTCTCGATGTCGATCCACTTCTCTCGCATTGTGCTCCCTCATATCCATCATCGACACTGGGTCCTTGTACGGATTCGCTGAATCGAAGTCCACAGAAGAATCCTTGATAGTTTACATACTCTAGAAAACTATAAAAACTCAAATATCCAGTGCCAAGCATCTAAAACTTTGGGAGAAAATTAAGCATCTTAATTTATGATATCTACTTGATAAAATAAAAATAATTTCATGACAAATAAAGAAACAGAACAACTCATATTCCAGGAGGGGTAGAAAGTCTCTCACTCTTATAGTCGCCCCATGTACAATGAGCCAAGACACAAAGCAGATCAATGTATACATCATAATTAGTTCCTTGAAGGGCAGGACAACAGTTAATGCGGGAAAAAATGGCGCCCTGCACGAGAATGAAAAATTCTCGAAAAAGTTTTGGAGGAGAGAGGAGAGAGAACAAGTTGAGGGTTTGATTCTAGTACAACTATTTCACTTACAATCGCTTTTTGCAAAACCATTGGATTAGATCCAACTGTGTTCTCATATAAGGTTCTCACATAAGCGTTCTCACTAGATAACCGCCCAAATATTTAAGGGAGATTCACTACTATACCCAATATAGGAGCCCAAATTATTTTTTAAAAAAAACCCTATATGAAATGGACTTTAGAAACACACGTGTATTCAATTGAGATTTTAAAAGATTATTTTGGAATAAATAAGTCTTGTAGTATTCAATTAAGACTTTTAAATAATCTAAACAAATCTTGTGGTATTCCATTAAGACTATTAGGATTTTTTAAAGAGAGTGTCAAAATCCTGTGGTATTCAATCAAGACTTTAAAGAAGTAACAAAAAGTCTTATGGTATTCAAAAACTTGTTAATTTCGAAGGAATTTTTCAAATGCGAAATTGTGTGAGACTTTTTAGTGAGATGTATGAATATCAAACCTATCTCAAATCCCACCCTAACCCATGAGACTTTTTTTTTTCCTTCACGTGAGATTGTTTTTTGTGCTCATCCACTTCGCCTTCTCTCAAAGCCAACTTCAACACCCCAAGCTTCACCGCCACAAGCCATCTCTGCAATCTACCTGCAAACTCACTTCACTTTCTCTGCTATACCTCAGTCAAATTTATGGTGACACCATGAGACCCAACAGGTCCAAAGTCCCAAACTCAAATGGGTTCTTCTCTGTTAAAGCTTACATGGATAATCCAAACTCCATCTCCAGCTCCAATTCCTTCAACAAAATAGAGAGACTTGATAGTAGAAGTTCTTGCCCTCACTTGTAAGAAAATTCATGACTGAGAAATTCACTCCCTGCTGACACGTGATGGTACTTGTCACTCTCACCTTAGCCACCCTCATCTCGGGCAAAAGAGTCAGTTCACTGGTTGCAACTGTAGAGAAATTACAGACAACAAACACACTGGAACAGAGAAAGGGGTTAAAGGAAGCGAGCGAGAGAGAGAGAGAGAGAGAGAGTCATGGACCTCGTGGTTCAGCATTAGGTAAATCCCTTCAAAAAAGTATGAGATTATCTCTCTTCATTTTCTCAGCTTTGAATTCTCGTCTGGGTCGTTGCCATTTTCCCCAAAGCCTTCCATTTTCTTGCCCAACTTCCTGACTCTTACAAAATGGAGTGACTCACTTGCATTTCAGGTTTTGGTTATTATAGTCTGTTTTGGGGATTGGTGTTGAAATTCTTGTGGTTTGTGGAGTGCGTTGGGGATTTTTGTTGTTGCTGTAGTTGATTGGTTATAGGGAGTGGCTATGGAGGGAGGGTGGAGATGGAGGCTATGCAATTTTCTGGTTATCATCAATTCTCCCTTACTCAAGGATTTACCCATTTTGTTCAAATTTTGAACCATCGTGTATGAATTTTGTAAATCAACTGAACTAGAGAACCTTCCTCTTAGGCCCTCTACTTTCCTTTGATTCCCAGCAAAGAAAAGAAATGGCATATAGCTTCCAACTTATTAATTGAGGATTAACTCCAAACAATACCATACTTTGAAAAAGAAGGTAGTAAGGGATAGAAGAGAAAATACTACCACCAAAAAAAACATAGGGCAGAAACTCCACTTGCATAGAACCACATGATATCTCATAACATTAATAGTTAATAAGGTAACACAAATTTTAAAAAACCAAGCAAGTTCCTTTTCCACTATTTTACTGGAGTTACTAGCTGTGCAGCAGGCCAGTGTTAAGATGGTAAAACCAGCAGCCTCCTATGTTCTGGGTTCACTATATTTGTTGGGCTAGGTATTTAAAAAAGTTTCAAATTTTGGTTAGGGCTATAGCCCTGTTTAGTCATACCCATATATAAATCCTATTATATAAATCCATGTGGTCCTTTCAAATCTTATAAAATCTTATGATATAATCTTTAAAATCCAAAAGTTAAAAATCTTGATTATACAAAATTATCAATAAAATCTTATAAGTCATTATATTCTGATTAAATCCGTTGGATTTTTTTAATCCTTAAATAGTCTGTTAAAATCTCAATTGAATACACCCCCTAAAGCTCATTTACAACACAACAAAAAGGCTTTTAACTTCTTTTAAATTACAAAACTGCCATTGATTTCTTAAAACAAACCTAGCCCCAAAACCTCATAAAAAAGTCCAAAACACTCAATAGAGCATCAAAGTAATTTAATAATCAAAATTAAATTCAATAGGGCCAGCTTTCATTTTTTGGGTTTGTTTATAGAAATTAAATAGTTATGGTTTATTTATAATTTTAGTACTAAGAATGGGTATATGACTAAATATCTCAATATTTAATGAGTGCAGAAATGTGTCTACTCTTAATTTGAAAACTCATGTTATAGATACCATATGAACTCACAGTACTAAATTCTTTGTTAGTCTAATGTTGAAAATAACTGTATATTAAACCAGCAAATGTTTCCATTACACATGAGTCTCAGAAGAAATTGGCGCGAAGAATGATTTGAGAAAACCATTGTGTTTTTACAGCCAATCTGACAAGGTTAAGGGAGACAAGGGTATAGTTAGTGCTTAATGATTGTTAAAACTAGTTAATCTCATTAATTGACTCATCACTCTACAATAAATAATGCATCTTCTTTTTTTTTGGCAAGAAAGAGGGATTCAAATTTGGAATCTAAACTAAGGTAATGTGTTCGACTCTCCCTCGCCAATTGAGCAGGGATAAATACCACAAGAACTCTTTCAATTTCTTACATCACAATAACTAAGTCGAACTTCACATCTAGATCCTAGTATTTCCATTTTGTTGATCTGGTTAAACCAGATTTTTGTTCTGTTTCAGAAGCAAATAGATGCCTAGAATTTGGTTTTGTTTTGTGGCGGTTAGGTCTTAAACCCTTTGTTCAACAGTGCCAAGTTGTGCAGAATTTATTTTACTCTTAATCAGCAATCTGCTTTCTTTTTAAGGAGGTAATTCATGCTACTGCTCTTAATTTGCAAACTGTCAATTTCGCATTGTATAGTTCCATTTTTGTTTTTTTACTGCAAATTGGAAGGATAAACGCTTCATACTCACTCATTTAGAAAACCCCTGTTTTACAAGAGTGACAACTTAAGTATCACAAAAGAGACTGCAATCTTGCATTTATAAACAATCGTCCCCTATATTTTGATAGACCTATTACTTGAATTCCAAGTTCCCCAAAATAGAGAGAAAAAGTTACCAGCCCTTCCTAAGAACAGGGCCAAGACTGCAAATTCTGCTGCATGGCAGGATTGACAACTGGGAATGGTACTGATAATAACTTATATGGTGATAGATGAGCACAGCCAATGTCAAAAGACAATGAGAAGTTCTGAACAGCTCTACCATTCGTGAATAAAATCACAACATATAAACAATTTAAACTTGAGAAGCAGGCAGGGCTAACTGTCTCCGTACAAGATAGTTAACAAAAAAATGGTTCACGATGCTGGATAATTTGGATAGAAATGCTTAGGTGAAATGGAGAGGAGTTATCTTTAATCATGTGAAACACGTGAAATTCCTTCGTGCACCAGCAATTTCTGCAGTCATATAAGATCAGGCTCTAAAATGATTTGGAAAAAGTTTGGTCTGACACCTCATATATGCAGCTAATATTTACTTGAAATGTAATGGGAAAAAAGAGAGAAATATATTGAAAACAACAGAACCCTACAATTATTTAGCTTGAAAGAAAAATATTCTGTCATAATTAAAAAGACTAGCTATATTTGTTGCAACCAATTATGTCCAAAGGAAGGAGAAGCTACCAGAGCAGCCCGATGAGACTTGTCGAGTCCTTCAATTAAACTGAGAGTTATCTGGTTTCATATTCTGGAACCTGTCCTTCATTATCTGGTGCAATATCTGAAAGTCTCCAAAGTCTTCACTTCCATCTCACCAATGTGTTTGAAACTTGAAGGGTGTCGTCTTTGAACACATTAAATGTTAATTTTGATATTTGGGATGTGAGAAATTTTGAACCACTCTTTTCCTTTCTCCTTTTGGCAATGTTTTTGGAGAATTTTACACTTGTTGATTGTCAAATTCTGCAGTGGTATTTTTCGGAGGAAGTATGGTAGCACTTTTATGCAAAAGCAAGAGTCAATCTCTAAGGTATGAAGACTTGGCATTATTTTGATAGAAGCATCCCCTTTCATGGACCTTGCACTCCCTACCCATGCATTCCACTTGAACAAGGATGAAAATCGAAGTTCCCTCAATTTTGGGAATGAAATAATAGATGAGTTTTCTGACCCACCAGAATCTATTCCCAAAAACTCACACCCAACCTTTTTCATGCTACTCATAAGACATATTGATATGGTAGTGTCTCGATATTTTCGAATCTCTAAAGATTCCAAATTTGGATGTGGTTGTAAAGCTTCAAGTATAATTTTATCTTCAAGTCTCCTCTCTTCACTCCAATCAAAATCTAGATTCAAATCAACAAGGTTCCCTCTAGTAATGAGTTCTACTTTCTCAGCCGCAGTCACGTTTTGTAGGTTTCCACACCTACAAATATGAAGATACCCTTCGAGGTTCAAATTTTTCAAATCTCCCAGCTTAAATGCTTCTTCCTCATCATCACATGGTACAACGAGCATATCGAGTGTCTGAAGAGAAGTCAGCTTTGCAATTCCCCTCGGCAAACTCTCTAGATTAAAACAATAATCAAGGTGAAGATGTCTTAAGTTCACTAGTTTCCCCATCCCTTCTGGTAGTTTTCTAATTTGCATGCAATTGTTGATCAACAAGGTTTGCAAGTTTGACAAATCACACAATGTCTCCGGCAATATTTCCAACTCATCATTACTAGATAAATTGAGATATCTCAAATGTATGAACTTACCAACCTCCTGTGGTAGTTCTTTGAACCAGCAGCGACTCAAATTTAATGTTCTAAGACATGTTAGATGCACAAATGTCCCGGGATTTATCGGAACATTCATTGAACACAAAGTGAAGAGGGTGCGCAGTCCTTTTCTGTTGTGCGTTGAGATAGGAATTGCATCCCCAGGTGCTAGGACAAAAGTAGAATGACGAGCCCCTTTAATGTCTGGCTCTCCTGTGTAACCCCCAGGTGCTTGGACAAAAGTAGAATGAAGGGCGCCTTCAACGTCTGGCTCTTCAACACAATCAACACCCGTGATAAAGCATTCATATCTAGTGACATATTGGGCCAAGCGATGCACCAAGTCATGCATCTTGCATTTGATAATATTTCCTTTATAATCTCTTTCAAAATCCTGGAAGAAAGACCGCATTGCTAAGTTCATAAAGTATTCTTGACCTAACATTTCCTTCTTTTTGTTTCTGTCAACACTGAGACCAAGAAAACCTTGTGACATCCACATTTTAATTAAATTGTCTCTCTCAATCAAGTGATCTTTCGGAAAAATTGCACAATATGAGAAACAACATCTTAGTGCAGGAGACAAATCATGATAACTGAACAGAAGCAGGTCAAAAGTGCTTATGTTGTTGGCATGTCCCAATTCCCAGATCATCTCTCGCAAAACAGATTCCCACTCTCCTCTACTACTCTTAAAGTGCAGGAGACCCCCGATGACCTTTATCGCAAGAGGCAAGCCATAGCAGACCTTCACAATTTTCTTACCAATTTTTTCTAGTTGTTTGCACTCACTTGCATCCCTTCCGAAAAATGCAATTTGCCTAAACGTCAACCAAGAAGATTCTTGTGACAATGCATTTAGATGCATCATCCTAGTTGCTCCCATCCTCTTAGCCATGCTCTCAGTTCTTGCGGTCACCAAAATTCTACTGCCCGCAGCACCAAAACGCAAAAGCTTCCAAAGAAGATACCCCTTCGAAAAGTCTGCATCCCGGGGATCCCACACATTATCCAACACAAGAAGGAACTTCTTTCCTGAAACAGATGCACGAATACTCTCAAGTAAAGCTTCCAATTCAACCAAGTTTGATGTCTTATTTTTTCGGGCAATAACTTGAAGAATTTCTTCAGCAATCCTCAACTCACGAGACGAAAACGACTTACACACCCAAATTCTGAAATCAAAATGAGTTTTAACCTTTTGATCATTATATACTAATTGTGCAAGAGTGGTTTTCCCAATTCCACCCACACCAACAATGGAGATGACACCAGGCCCCCTAACCACACCCTCTTCACTACTCTCAGATACCAAATTTCTTATTAACATCTTCTGATCTTCATCCCGACCATATAAACTCGGTTCTTCAATCAATTTATGGGAGGTAGAAATTCCTGTTCCTACTCTCTCCGGCTGATTAATCTCTCTGTACTTTCTAAACCTGAACCCATGACTCTCAGCGAAAATCACACTCAGTCTTTCCCTCAAACACTTAATACGACGTCGTTGACCGACCCGATTGACTAATTGACTGCAGCAAAAGCAAGAGGTAAGCCGAGAGAAGCATACCTTCATCAAAACGAAAGCTTTCTTTGTTCCATGAGTTTCTTCTTCCAATTTGGGTATGGCAGTGCTCAACTCGTCCAACACGTCTTCGATGTCGCAGCTCACGTCTTTGAGCTTCCCCAACCACACTCTCACGCGCTCATCTTTCACTCGCCTCTTCTCTGCATCCTCCAGCACTGGTTCAATGTGGCGGAGGATTCCGGTGAGCTCTGTAAATTCCTCCTTTCCGTCCAGTTGGTCTAACAGTCTGGAAACCAGGGCAAGTGCATCAGCCATGATCGGAGCTTTGGAGCTTGAAGCTTGATTGGCAAGAAAGACTGGAAAAGGGGGCGGCTATATACGAAATGAAAAAAGGAAAGACAGACTTTCATTGGAAAAAAAAAAAAAAAAAAAAGGAAAGAGAGAGATTTTCTTTTGAAAAAAAGGAAAGAGAAAGATTTTCTTTTGAAAAAAAAGAAAAGAGAGATTTTATTTTGAAAAAAAAAAGGAAAAAGGAAAGGGAAAGATAACATATTTGTACCAAAACTGGAAAGAAATAACAAATATTTACAGGGCCGAATACTATAAAGGTGAGTTTGCGTAGCTGACAAGGCCTCAACACTTAATTTCTTGTTTAGTCACTAGCTTGGACTATAAGACTGGATAAACTAATTTCACACATCATATGATATGCATGTGAGACCGATATTATTTGAGAAGTTGAGAAGAAATTTATATATAAAAAAAAATTTAATTACTATTTTATTCTTATTGTATTAATTTTTTTTTTTTTACTTAGTTTAGTTTAAATTAGCATATCTGCACACGCGATGTGCCACTTCATTAATTATGTCTTCAAGCACCGTGAGCCTCTAGGAATTTCATAGCATGCATGAATCCTGAATTTTGGAGGCATTATTTAAAACAAAGGTGGAGATTAAGACCACTTAATTAGTGTCATGTAAATTTGTTAATTTTAATTTAGTATCCATGGAATATAGGTAGCTATAATTATTCAAGATATCCAATTCATGATTAAAGATTTTGAACATCTGACAGGTTTTCAGAGAAGCAAATAAACTTGCGATGGGTTTTGCTAATATTGGGCATTTAGGGACCCCAAAGGGAAAGGGGTGGTAGTTGTTGTTTTTTTTTTTTTTTTTTTTTTTTTTTTTTTTTTTTATTTTAATTTTAATAAATAAATAAATAAATAAAATAAGTGCGGAGCTGGTCGCTACGAATCCTACACGTGGTTAAGCAATTAAAATCCCACAGCCAAACACGACGCCATAAGATGCACCCGAGCCTGCCTGAGATTGTTTGACGGCTCAAATAAACCACAAGAGAGAAAGTGCGAGGAAGTGAGAAAATTTGAGGGAAAGTTGAAGAAGCAAAAGAAGATGAGCAGCGAGCCCAAAACCAGTAGCGCAACTGCTGGAGGAGGAGGAGCAGCAGCAGGAGGAAGGGGATTTAGGGCGAAAATGGAGCACTACATGTACAGCGGTGAGAAGAAGCATGTATTTGCTGGCATCGTTCTTGTCAGCGCCGTCTTTGCCGTTCCTTGGTACCTCATGACTCGAGGTTTGTTTATCTTTCTCACTTTTTTTTCGATTTACTCGCTGTGGTTTTGGGTTTTAGCATAACGTAGCTGCAAATTTTAGGTTTTGGAATTTTCCTAATTTTTCTTGGCAACCAAACAGTGGAAATGTGTAAATTGGGTCAAGTGGTTCCATTCTACTACACAGATCAGTTTAAATTAAATTCATCGAAATGTGTAAATTGGGTCAAGTGTTTACTGATTGCTCGAGCCTCCTTTGTGTATTTAGTGAATAATTAGATTTGGGTTATGACTATCTGAGCTATGGGAATTACAATAATTTGTATTTCTCATCTTAATATGCATGTTATCATAGGAAATTTGGGGCTCCTGTAATCTCAGTGGCATTTTGTTCTGCTCTCTTCTTGTGTGTTGTGTGTAACAAAGAAAGGGGAAAGGACAATATGCACTGTGATTTTGACTACCATATTGTAGGTAAATACATGGTACTATGTTCATGGTAGTTTCTTTAGTTGATGGTTGTAATCCATGAATGTGCCTTGTATGAATGGGGTTCATACTTCATTATCAGATTTTGTTTCGGTTGCCGGTTGATTTGCCTACCTCCCTTTCCTATGCATAAGAAAGTCATGCTGCTGGTATTTTGTATGCTAAATAAATGTAATTCAAACTGTGTTCTCTCCTGTAGGGGCAAAGCATCAATCCCATCAAGATTACTTAGAGAAAGCTGATAAGGCAAGGAGCCAAAGACTTTCTTCAGGGGCTTCTTCTGCTAAATGATTTTGAAAGCTTTCTTGTTAAGGGTGTGTAACTTTCCTCTGCTTTTTTTTTTCTTCTTTTAATGGTTGGAAGGTGCAGTAGGTCTTTGTTGTTTGGCAATGTTTTTGCCTTCTCAACCTGTTCTCTGGAAGAGATACTGGCTTCTCATGATCCTCGAGGAGCAATAGTTTTGTTTATTTTCCTTGTGATAGTTACAAATCTACAGTCCATGAGGAACACATTTTCAATAACCAGCTAGAAGCAAACTTCTATTTCTTGTTATGTCAATCAGGCTTCTTTCTGGTGTCATGTTGAGTTGCACTATAAAGTATGGCCGTTGATCCAAAAAAAGAAGCAGCCCAGCAATACTTTTCTTAATCTTGTGCATTTTGAGGTTCAGCATGTCTACTAGGTGAATAGTGCTCTTTCAACTTTTTTATTTGATACAGCCAATAAAATTTTGAGGGGTAAACAAAAATATGCTTGGTAAATTGGCTCTATGGAGTCAGGTGGAGTAAATAATGCGCCGAGGGAATTGTTGTTCAAGTGGTCAAGAGCATTTACAATGGCACCTGAAGTTGCGTTTGAATTTTCCATTTTCCAATATCGATTGTATCAAAAGTGTCATTGCTAAGGGAAAATGACCCCAACCCAATACGTACATACTCCAGAGTTTTATAATTTACCACTGCACCTAGTGATGTCCACAACTTGTATCTAACATGTCTCTACTTTGTATTTCATGCACTCTCAAGTAGACCTTATCAAATCACGTACACTATACAACATGAATATGTACAAAAGATATGTGTTTGGGGCAAGCTTTATCGGGGCAGATCCATAACGGGTGTAACATTAACATATCGAGTCAGTGTTCATTCGTGAAACACAATACTGACACGTTATCTTTATGCACTATGCTTTTAGTTCTTATTTTCTGTGAAAAATCTTTTAGCCTAAAGCTTATATCTTTCAACCCCTAAAGCCTAAAACTTGTGTCTTTCTTATGTATGGTGTTTTTTAACTTTTTGAACATTTTTTGTGTAAGGTGTTCGACATAAGTTTTATAGCATTATAACACGTTTTCTTTATGTTATACTAAATACTTTTTTGTTGTTGGAGTATTGTTGAAAAAAAGGCTAGAGCAAAACGAGTAAAGACACACGATTTCGCAAAAATTGTGAATAGGTTTCATGTATTGAAACACGATAAGTTAGCATATTGTATTTGGAATAATTTCACACAACACGACGCGTCGCTGGGTCTACCATCAAAGTATCTCAGCCGGTCATGTTGGCCAACTTTCAAGGTTGCTCGTCTTATTCAAAGAGAAAAACACAAGCAAACAAGCCATTCTGTTTATATCTCTGTAAATAGAGTTTTATTAAAATAGAATGATAATTATCGAACCACACCAATCAACAACTGATGAACTGTTTATTCACTGACCAAAGAGTTCTTGCTTAATGCACACTAGCATCTCCGCACACGCTTTCAAGCCTGTGAGAGACCTTTTTTTTTTTTAAATTATTTTATTTTAGAATTAAAGAAGATAATGGGTAGTTGTGTTTCATAAAAATAGGATCCATTATCTGATTTTTCTTTGAATTTTAATTTTTGTTTTAACATGAAAAAATGTGAATTTACCATATTATTCTCAGTTAATTAATAATTTCAATTCTCAATGTTTGCATCAATCAATGATATTTTTTGGTATTTTGAATTTTTTAACATTCTCTTTCTTTTGC